TTCTTTCTCTGTTGTATCAGCCGGGAGTTGGTACCACAGCTCTGCTTGTAACCACGTTAGTCTGATTATGTTTATTGATTTTAATATCAAAATAATAAAACCATTAGCACCCCATCATGACTTGTGTATGTTTGATTGATTGAATTGAATATTGATGTAATATTAAGTGACTTTACTGAGTTTTCATTACATAAATCGACATAAAAGTATTTCACAAGTTCACTTTCACTGCACATTTACATTTAACATATGTCCATTCTAATTAAACAAGATAATAAAAGAAGTACAGGGGGAAGAAATAATCTACATATTCTATTTTTCATTTTTCAACTTGGGCTTTTACACACAGTACAATTAAAATCAGCTGCTTTCTTTTTTATAAAAACACAGTAACACTACAGACATTAAAATATGATAAATACTGACAAAAAAATATATTGGTTCTGTTGTACAAGAGGACAAACAACAATTGGTTAAAAATGACTGCAGCTTGGTGTGCCTTCAGCCATCCCTTAACCTGTCTTGGGAATGATTTTATATCTGTAATTGATTTGATTTCGCTGGATAATGTGTTCCAGAGTTGCCAGAGCTTTATGGAGAAAGCCGATCTCCCAAATTAAGATCTATGATGTGATATTTTATAGAGGCTCTGACAAAACAAAAATGAATGAAGCTCTCAAAGCTAAGTAGATTATATCTATTCAGGATGTGACAGAGAAACCACTGGACAGTCTTTTGCTCCATGACTGTTGTAATGGATAAACTATATTTGATGGCTGATGATGATGCTTGAGGCCATACTGTTACACAACATGAAAAATGAGAGGAAATCACAGTGCATAACTAGGTGGGCTGCCTCTGTGGGTATGAAGTTCCTGATTAATGTAATTAAAGAAATATAAAATGGCTCTTTGCTGTTTTTGAAATCTTCACATGTTCATCAAACTGACAATAATGACTGATAATTCCATATGTAATCATTTCGAGATTTGTTGTATTCTTGTATTTCTTTATTCTATATATTGGATTTTAAACATTCAAGTGAAGCTAAAATTACCATTAACATTTTTGTTTGTTTGTTTTTATTTTATTTTATTAGTTGGTATTTTACGGCTTAAGAAACGACTTTCTGACGATTTTTAAGAAACGCGTTTGAGAAAAGACGAGCAGAGCTCGTCGTCTTTTGGCCCTGCAGCTTGCCGTACCAAAACAATAATGGCGTCTTCTGCGGATGTTCACATCCGAATTTGCGGACAAGAAATTATAAAATATGATCTTGAAATCAAAGCTCTCATCCAGGTAAGGGCTGAAAACATGCGGTTCCTTTACTGATTTATTTTTTGCTCTTGCTGAATTGTTGTTGTTGTTCTGGAGAAGTGACGGAAGATGAGTAACGGGTCTGAAAGTTGGGCTACAGTGAAGCTAACGTTAGCTTCAAAACAGAGGATTTATCATACTGAGGTTTATTTTTATTTACCGCAATGAATCAGTCACCAGGTAATTATCAATAACCGTTTTAATAATCGATTTTTCATTGAAAATGTGTATTTTAATGCTCAAATGTTGTGTCTCCACCTTTTAAGGTGTGAATGTTTGCAGCATCCAAACAAAACAAGTAACTTGATTTAATCTGATTTGGTTTTGGGAAGCTTTAATGAGCATTTCTCCTCATTTTATAGACCAAGAAATGAAATATTGTTATTTGAAAATATGTTCACGACAGCCTTTATATCCTGCAGTGATGTATTATTCAGGTAAAGTAATGTAAGAAAGATCAGTATGTCAAGCGAAATGTTAAATAGATGACTGTTTATTGAAGAAGAAAAATGTTAAACTCCTGTTTGTTTTTTTGTTTGTTTGTTTGTGTATATTTTATGAACAAAATCAATGAAACACACAAACACACCAGAACCTCTCTGCATGCCAACATAGATCATCACCAGACTACTTGTATACAGCTCAAAATTAAATGTATTTTATTTATTTGGTGTGAATATTTTATTTAACTAATAATTTAATGAACCCATGGTCCATGTGTACTCGCTAGTCACTATCAATCCAAACCCAATATTTGTATATATTTAGTTTGTTTGTGTTGCTCAAAAACACGTGCATTTTGTTATTAATCTCCATTTTATATTTATTGTTTAATCTAACACAGCTTTCAATATAACTGTTAAAGTACTATTATTGAGTGATATTTAGATTACATTATCTGTTGGCTTCACGTATACAGTCTATGTAGTGAATAATTGGGGAATCGAGTGTGAATTTTGCATTTTTTAATGGTAATACGACATATTTATAGACACAGTTTTTTATATGTAATAAATTATTATCTGACTTTTTTCATGTTTTCAAGAGGAAGCTGCAATTATTTAACCGTAAATTTCTAACAAATGTATCAATGTTCTTGGTTTATTGTATAGACTTTGCAAACAAAACACATGGCCTAATGGTTATTTCTACAGTTGTATAGTCATCAATACATAAGATTTAACCTTGTGTTTGTGTGTGTTGTCTGTAGGACATCAGGGATTGTCCTGGACCTCAGTCTGCTCTCATGGAGCTCAACTCTCAGGTCAAACAGAAGTTCAACAAGCTGAGGCTCAGAATACAGGTATAGAATGATAATAATAATAATAATAATAATAATACCTCAGCCACACATTCATACTATGACACATCTAAAACATTTATTGATTCAACTGGAACCGTGTTGTGTGGCGTTGTGTTGTTGTTGTCAGGATCTGGAGCAGATGGCTAAAGAGCAGGACAGAGAGTCAGACAGACTGGCCATCCAGGCAGAGACTGAGAGCCAGCGACGGCAAATGCTGAGGTGTCTGAATGCACACACATGAAAATGCAACTTGTGTGACAGCAATCATTTTATTTCGCTCTTAAATTATTTACTTCATTAACATTATTAATCCCAAAAAAGTTTCTTTGAGTGATAATTAGTGTTGCCTGCTTTGCATTAGCTTTGATGTGTGTGTGTATGTCACAGAACATATTTGACTGATACAGTATTGTGAAAATGTCTGTTTTTCTCAAGTGAAAGTAAATTCTAGACGTATATCCTTTATGTTGAATCTCAAAACCAACTATTCATATCAAATATGTGCTCTAGTTATCTGGAATAAGACAACTACATTCATATCTGTAGCTAATCAGCCTTTAGGAGGCAGATAATTGCAAATACTACAGCAAAGAAGCACAGTTTTGGCCTGTGATTGATCTAAATCAGAAAGTGCCATTCCTATTAAGATGTTTTAACATTTTTTTTTCCTCTGGATTCCAGTAACCAGACAGCGTGGAGGAAATCTAACCTCGCTTGTAAACTTGCCATAGACAGCATGGAGAAGGATGAGCTGCTGCGTAGTGGAGAAAACCAGAGCACCAGGCAGAGGTAAGTACACTTCAGCTTGAGAGGCTCTGCTCTGATGCTGACACGAGTTGAAGACCTTCATATCAAGTTCTGTAGTTCTTAGGAGTCGAGAGCTTTGGTATTTAACACTGCCATGGAGTTAGTAAGCTTTGAGTTCAGTTACAACCAGAACCCAGTCTTTTTTTTACACACACATATATTTTATTTATGTATGTATGTATGTATGTATGTATGTATGTATGTATTTATGTATGTATGTATGTATGTATGTATTTATTTATTTATTTATTTATTTATTTCAACACAGTCAAACAGTCACCCTTATAAAAACAACATATTGCTGCTACTCTTCTGGAACTGAACTGGAAACTGTGCATCACCTGGTCTGCTTTGTTCTCAGGAAGGCAACCAAAGAAAATCTAGTGGAAACCAGCAGCAACATCACAGAGAGTTTGATGTCCATCAGCAGGATGATGGCTGAACAGGTGAAGCAGAGTGAGGACACCATCGGCTCACTGGGTAAAAAAACAGAACTCTACTTTATCCATATATGTTTTTACATAATTCCAATTTTGTGTTTCAATCTCCCTTTCACACTTCCTAACCCATCTTCCTCTTCTTCCTCCTCACCTCAGCCACCTCCTCCAGGACGGTGCAGGAAACCAATGAGGAGTTTAAAAACATGACTGGAACCATCCACCTGGGCAGGAAGCTGATCCTCAAGTACAACCGTCGGGAGCTGACAGACAAGCTGCTCATCTTCCTGGCTTTAGCCCTCTTCCTCGCTACTGTCCTTTACATCCTCAAGAAGCGCCTCTTTCCCTTCATCTAGCCGAGCAGCCAAACCTGCAGGATCACTGCTTTTCCTCCAAGATTCAAGAACTGACTTTCGCAAGTAGGAGGTATGAAGGAGAAGCAGGGTCCACATGGGGTGTTAGAAGCAGCAGTGAGACTGAGGCACGCAGAGGGGGTGTCAAGTGAAAACCTTTCACCATGTATGTACAGTAATGCAAAATGTGGGTTTATAAATCAGTTGGGAAGGTTGTGATCGTTTTAAACAGGAATCCTTTAACTGAACTGAAAGGAGCACAAAACTGGCATTAGAGGGTTTCAATGAACAGCAAAAAGTTTAAAGCCTCAGCATGCTTCAAACAAATGGGGTGTGCTGATGGACACATCTCCAGGCAGAAGTTTTTATATGCATTGCAGATGGTCACATTTGAAGGAGGGATGGAAACGCTGCTGTCAGTACGTCTTTGTGGCACTTGTATTAATTGGGATAGGAGTTGACAGTTTCAGAAGAAGTAGCTGTAGAGCTCTTTGAGAGAAGCTCAGATCGTATTGTCTACTGCCTATCGCTGTTGGATTGTGGGTTCAGGAAAAGCACTTTGAAGCAGTCTGAGGCTTTAATTCTTCATGTGGCATTCAGAACTAACCAGCATCAAGGACACGGTATGCAATAAGCTCCACCATGTTTACTTTTTGTCAAAGTAACGTGTTTGTGTGCATGTTGAAAAGAGAAAGTGTGTGTGTATGTATGTCTGCTCTGGATGGCTTATTTTAAGATGTTGTTGTTACAGTTGTTGATGAGTTTACCTTGTGCCTTTCTTCCCTTCAGTCAGGCTGCATCTGCACGTGTATGTTTTCTTTTTAAAACACTTCTCCTTTATTGATGCGTCATGCACAACACTACAGTATTTTAGGAGACCTGAAACAGAGACTTTTGCAAACCATTTTAGTTTGAGTCTTTGGGAAACAATGATGTAAACACTTATGGTTTCTTGACCGTTTACATAAAGAAAAACACAGATACCAGCCTTGACAGCCAGTTGTTCAATCAACACAGATAGCGAATTAGGCTACAGGTATTTCTGACCGTGTTGTCAATGCGGCCAATTGTGGAGTTAAGAAAATCTCTGGACTTAATTTATGCCATTGCTGTTGTTTGTCGTATGTTTACAACTGAGGTTAAATTTTGATACTGAAACTCTGGATGAGGATCGTTTTTCATTTTTAAACACCACTTTAGAATAAAAACATATTGGTGCAGATGTAGCCTCTGACATTCAGACTACTGAACCAGTAATCTGACGATTCTCTGAAGGGTGTCTTGCCATGTTGAGTCAGACTGTGTGAATGTTGAACAAAAAAGTCAGTTTTGATGAAAACTGAATGTTTCCAAAATATCAAGGGATCCGTTGTTGTGCAGCAGATGTGCCAGTAGATGTCAAAATACCCGACATATCACCATGCGAGATGCAACACTGTGAATTTGTGTGAATAAGTGTTTAACTGGACAGAAATGACTTAATGAACAAACATCTCCAGCGACTTCATTGTAGTTTAATTAATTTCAATTAAAATTGCTTACAACTGAGTTTTAAAGATTCATTTAAATAAAATAAAATAAAAACTTACAAAATATCGCTTGAAACCTGGGGTCTGTATGAAATGTGATCGTTCAAGTAGAACATTAAAAATACATATTTATAACACGACCAAAGAGTGCTTCCCCTTCCTGCAGACCGCACCTCGACTGTCCACAACGTAGCACCTGATAGTGTGTCTGCTATACTGTGCACAATATAACAATCCTCATAAATACAAAAACAGACTTAAATAGGAAGAATTCTGACTTGGAGCCATCAGCTGCACTCGAGCTACAAATTCCCTGTAGTGTTGACTGGTGTGTGTCCCTTCCTGCTGCTGAAGAACGGAGCCACTGTGGTTTACTGTCATGTTGAAGTGAGGTAGATAATTGGTTTTTCATCCTTATACAAAGTCAAAAGTTAGGAAAAATATTAATATTTCGAACACAAATATCCAACAAATTGAATAAGTTATGCTGCACTGCTTTCATCAGCAATACCACACTGAATACTACTACTACTACCACTACTTTTACTCATTCTACTGCTAGTATAATAGTAATAAGTGCATGATCTTTGTGTACCCTGTCTGCACCTCTGTGTGACCCCTTTTTTTTGTCTAAGAAGCAGTAACGTTGGATTTCTCAGGCAAACGGAGACCAGGTTCGGTCGCGTTGTCGATCTGCCTGCTCCCGTCCTCTGGTTCAGCTCCTCTGGTCGGCTGCTGAGCAGTGGTAGGCCAGGGCTCGGTGGGCGGCGGGACAGTGGTGGGCTGCAGAGATTGGCTGAGAGGGCAGATGCTGCCGAAACTGCCGCACAGCGCTCCCCAGTGCTGCTCGCACTGACCGCGCAGCCGCCGTCCGACCCACGTCCTCACATTGTCTCCACACTTGAGCAGGAAGTTCATCAGTTCCACGTACGGCCTGGAAGGACACATGACAATGTTTGTTCATGCATCCGTCCGACTGTTAATAGAGACTCAAGGTACATTCAGAAAAACGCCACCCTCACATGAGTCTGTCACAGTTTCTGAACAGTTTCAGGATAGTGGCATCATCTTGAATCAGCTGCTTTAAAGGTGTCATCACATCATAACATTAAAGAGCCCATATGATGCTCAGCTACAAGTTTATCATTTTACTTTTGGGGTTTCACTTTAACATGTTTACATGCTTTGATGTTCAAAAACACAATATTTTACTCCGACTGTACATTCCTCCTCTTATTCTCTATGTATCTAAAACACCTCCCATCTGTTCAAGGCCCTCCTCCTCCAGAAAACCCAGTCTGCTCTGATTGAAATGATCCACACTTATCCAAGTGGAGCCATGATGACGGCTAATCCAGTTGTCTTTATGCAGAGGAAAAGGGTTTCTATTTGTCCGTACTCATCACCTTTTACATAGATACACTAGTAGAGCCTTTACGAAACCAAAGAAGACAATGTCATCCCACAGTTATGGCGGCAGCAACGTTCAAAGCGACGCGTCGTCCACAGCAGACCCTTGACAACAACATTTGCATGATTCCGCGGCCTGGTGTAGCTACAGTCAGATTGTCTCAGCACTGTGGTTGTCTTTTCCTGCGTCCTCATGAATTCTCCCTTTACCATTAGCCACATTAATCAGACAGCATGCTCACACTACAGATTTTCCTAGTGTTGTGAGGACATCGCTGTCAAAAATAAACTGAATCCACTGGCTCTTCAGTTTCTCAGAGCGCATAAAGACACGGAACATTTACTGAGCTTTGCAAGTGATTAAGAAATGTTAGTGAACGTGGCAGTAACGTGAAAAAAAGGACGGACTGCAAGACAGGTACTCGTTATTGATTTGAAGATGTGCCAAACTAGGCCTTCTGAAAATGTGCTACATGGTGACGTAGATAAGTGATGAAAGAAGAGCCTGGACTACAAACAAGGCAGTTGAGAAGAAGTGTTTTCTGTAGGTGAACAACCCCCTTTTGGTGTGGACTTTGCAGACCTTTTACATGCAAAAAAAAATGCTATAACACATACACACATACAAGCATTTCAAAAAGTAAAACTTGATACTCGTTTGATAATTCGCGTCTCTCTCACCCTGGAGGAAACATCAGGTGGAACTGGACCAGGTTCCCCATGGTGTCCATGTGGTCCTGCAGCGCCAGGCAGAGCTGGTGTTTGGAGTAACACTCTCTCTGCAGCGAGAACACCATTTCCTTCACCGCTGAGCAGCGCCGGCTCACACAGCTGAATCGCTGCCGAAGTCCCAGCGACATGCATCTCAGTGCATCCTTCACAAAGGATTTACCCTGAGAGGAAAAGAAGGAGAATCAGTGGGAGTTTCTGAGCTGAGTGAGCTTACTGATTTTTTTTTTTGCCATTGTCTTTTTATCTATATCCATCTATTATCCTCTTATTATTGCTATTTTATTGATTTTATTATTAATTTTCCACTTTTTGTTACTACAGTTGACCTATCAGCTCATCAGTCTTCTGTAAAGCACTTTGAATGGCTCTAACATGCTATTCAAATAAGGTTTGATCATATAAATATTGTGTAATCACAGTGTCAAATCTGGCCTCGGATGCGTTTCTCAAATAGCCTGTTTCCCCCTTTTCCCCACATCTCTCCACTGTGACGCTGAATAGCACAACATTGCTGCACTAACAATAATGAAAAAACACATCATGCTCTTCTCTGGACATTGGATCCACAAGAGTCTGACATGTTGAGTGTGGTCACGTTCTGGAAAACATTAGCTTACTTTTTTCAAATCAGTTGTAATACAAAAGTACATGCTATTTATACATTGAAAAAACTTTGCTGTAATAATCCCACTCTGAGTTGACTTGAACCACAACCAGTGTTAAGAGGAGCGATGATTACAAAAGCCCATAACTCCCAACGTATATGTTTATTTTTTTGGCCACTTGGGGGCAGAGAAGCTTAACAAAAAGCTGTAAAACACATTACTGCTGTATAATCTTGCTCTGACTAATGTTGTTACATATCCAGTGACCACAATTAGCATTTATATAGAGTCCAATCATAATCATAACTTGGCAAGCTACCAGTTTGTGGATTTCTCCACATGCCATACACACAGCACCCTCAGGTTAAAGAGTTAAGTTAAATAATGTGTCTACTGGTAACATAGTGTTACCTTCAAACACAACGATTACAGGTTATGTTTATTCCTCATGCACAACTAGCTCATGCACTGTGAAATATTTCCTCCCAGCGTGGAAGCCAGGCTGTGTTTAGGCTGATGTCTGCAGCCCTGCATCAGAGTTAGGATCAATTCCAGCAGCGCTACCGGAGACAAGCAATGTTTGCCAAACACACCTGTTATCTTTATCCTAAAAGCCAAACTAAGATGCTAATTCTAAAAACTTAAAGTGTTTGAAATACTAACAATACAAAAATAATGTTTTTAACCCCCTCGGCCAGTTTCAGGCTCCAGCCTCCGTAGACCATCTACAAGAGGAAGTGGGAACACTTGCTAATGGCTCCAATGATCAGCAGTCGGCTTTTTGTCCGAGTCATGCATCTATGTGACCATCAAGTATATTTAAAAAGTGCATATTTTATATCCCTTTACAGGACACTTGTTTTCATAAGAATCAGCTGTAAACTTATAAATTCAGCTGCAGAAAGCCTTTTCAATCAACTCACGTTAACTTGATTTGTTAGCTGCTTGGCTACCTTTTATCTCAGCTGGTAACACTACCTCTGGTTTACCTCAGTCTAAATTCAAGAACCCAGTTTTTTTAAACTACCAGGATTTTTGAGTGTTTAAATCTGCCACTTCTCGCTGTGCAGTGTGGTTTTGGAGCTTTACAAAATAGTATCTAAAAAGGATTGAAAAGCTGCGTCAAGTTAAGCTGAGTTATTTGATTTTCATGCAGTGGCAATTTAACTGGTGATTAGAGAAGGTTTTAAGCGCCAGTGTTATTGTGCCAAACAGGTAACAGTACAGAAAGGGAGCATGTGCTGTGAAAGAGCAACATTTAACAATGTATATACATGCACAGTAGTAAAATACCAATGCTGGGAAGATTTGCGCTGCTAACAGTGATTGGCTCAAAGAATTTGTAGACAAAACAGTAGGTTAAAATGTCAAAAGCTAGAAATAGAACAAAGGCCAGGCTCTGTCTATCATCCACAGTTATAGGGAATAGTCGAACGAGTGAATGGTGTCATACAGCAAGAACTTTGAAAAATGTGCATGTATACAAAGCTAAACTTGCTTATCAAAGTGATATTGATAGGAAAACGCAGCTAACTCTGCATTAAATACTTATGAGTCTACACATGCCTGCACCTACACATATGAATAAGGGAGCCTGTCGAGGTGTCCTACAGAGTGACATGAGAGCATAGGTGCAGCAAATGTCTATATATACACAGTTATGTATATATATATAGTTATGTGGTTGTGTAGTACAGTACAGTCACCTTACTGAACATTATCCACAGTTCCTGTCCTTGCTGGAGACACATTAGACCTGCATCACTTTCTCGTGTATTTCTATTCCAGTAAAGTGGACAAGCTGTTCCCTCTCTCATTTCAGCTGCCCTCTCAGATTGTTCTGTAACCACTACTACCCTGCACGACCATACACTGCTCCTTGTACAGCAAAACATTCCTCACAAATGACTTTAATGACTGAAGGGATTAAATGAAATAAAAACACCTATCCAGATTTGTCTTCTCTTACCCGGCACTAAGCTGCTGCTGAACTTCATTTCACGCCGCCAGCTGGTGCAAATGGGCCTGATGGCAAACAAGCAGCTTTTGAATCGTGCTTGTCGTGCGTCCGAGTGCGTTGCTGATGCTCACCTGTGAGTCGTAGCGCCCAGCGTTGTGCAGCAGAGTGAGGCAAATGTGGTGCAGGCCCTGGATGTCGCAGGAGTTGTTGCTGAAACACTGGAACATCCCGCAGCCGACGTCCCCTGAACTCACCAGACAGCTCTGAATCTCCGCTGGGAGACACAGAAACACATCAGGATGAGCTTTCCAACAGTGGTGCGACAAACACTGGTGCATCTCCCACATCTTATGGGCTACTGCGCTGTATTCTGCTGTGCCTTGAAGAGAGCAGCTGCCTACACTGCAGCAGCTTATGATCAATCAGACTTAATTCATACAGCACTTTTCATGCAAACTTAATGTAACACAAAGTGCTCTACAGATAAAAGGAATAAACACACAATAAAACAGTACAAACAAAACCCTGCACTTATGTTATCAATGAAGGACTCAAAAACAGGGATTCAGAAACTGAGGAAATGCTAGCCTGGGGACATCAGATGAAATAAAATAAAAATAAATATAATATAGAGTGGTATAGGTAGAAGACAAAACAGAAGCCAAAATTTATTTATTTTTTTAAATAGAAAGAAAATAATATTGTAAAATAAAGTAATAAACACTGAATAGGCGTAAACAAGTGAATAAACAGAAATCAATAAATAAAATTAGTCCTACAAAGAGTAATAAATAAATAAATAAAATTCATCAAACCAAACAAAAAGCCTGACTAAAAAGGCAGGTCTGGAGTTTACCTTTAAAAACATCATAAAAAAGAAGTTGAGTGCCTCAGTTTCTTTTTGCATGAGACCATGTTGATTCAAATTCTGTTTAAGTTTTACAAGGTCAGCTCAACGATGGACAACAATGCTTTCACTTTATAGAAAACATGATTTCAGTTTGGTGTAAATGCAAATATTATCATGATGACTTCAGGAACACTTACTGTTTTTTTAATTATATGACATAAATATATAGTTTGAAAAGAGTTTTGTTTTTTTACACGGTGGAGGAGGTCTATGAGCCGGATCACGTCTCGCTGGGGGTCTTGGTTAATCTTTACCCAGCTGTGGGAGATGTTGTTCTCGCTCTCTACAATCCCGCTGCCTGCAGCTCAGCTCCGGGCCTGGAGGTGCCTTCACGCACCGCCCTGCTGGAGCTGCAGGGAATGCGCTTGGAAGGGATCGAGCCACCGGAGCTGCGCATTGAATTACAGCCACCAGCGGAGCAGGAGGACGTGCTGACCGGCTCGGAGCTCGGTGCTCACACGTGTGATGAAAGTCAAACACCAAGAATAAAAATGCCAACTTTCCAGAATCAACAGGCACTATGGGGCATCTTGGGGATCCCTAATGAAAGATCCATTCACACGATTTGATTTGTTTTAAAAATGAGTGATGTTATAAAACATGGTTAATGAAGTGAACTCACCTGCGCTCTGCAAGGACAGACGTCTTTTGACTTGGCTCACTTGTTTCTCCTGGACATCATGCGGGTCCACGCAGAGCACCTGATGGCAGCCCAGCAGCAGGAAAAACACCAGAAACGCACAGTTCACCGACATACCTGCAGCTCATTCAGTCTCTATGTGCTCCTTTTTTCCCTTTAATGCTTCGTTAGTGTCAGGCTGGCGCTGCAGGACTAGAAGGGTTTTTTGTTGTTGTTTTGTTTTGGTTTTTTTGCACTATGTGCTGCGGCCGCGCCGTTAACGCTCAAGTATATAAAGCTGCAGGAGCGATGCGCGTCCGCGACGGGCCGGAGTGAAGGGAGCCTGTGTCTCCACCAATCACGGCGCAGCTCCGTGAACGCGCAGCACACGTGGAGCTGAAAGTTTGATCGTTGATGGGAGACAAAGAGGACGCGGAGCTACAGAATGCGCGAGATGCGTTTGAGCACGTCAGTGAATAAAAGTGATTATGAGCAGAAGAAAGTGAATCCAACTCTGTCTGACAGCTTAAATCCTCCTGTAAGGTCTCAGTGTTCCTCTGCGGGGGGACGTGAAGGTCAGCCACTCCAGACATCCACACTCAATTAACCCACAATCCCGCCTGTGTGTGTGTGTGTGTGTGTGTGTGTGTGTGTTTGAGGGTTTGCAGCTGCTTTGCTGGCAGTCAGGAGACGTGCAATGAGGAACGTATCACACGCACTCAGACTGTATGTGAGCAGAGCCAGGGTTTCCAAATTGTTATTGAATCCTACATTCCTTCAACTTACATTTTTTCCCTCCCCACATCATGTTTGTCAAACATGCTCTGTACAAACTTGTAGTGTTCCTAGACAAAGAAGCTGTTTATAAAGTCTGTAACAAATGGTTTTATTAGTGGTCTTCTGCTGGGTTGCCAGATTAGGGCCACCCTTGTCCACCCATCAGACTGGCCTCACTGGATTTAAGTGATTTTCTCTAGCAGTTGAAGAGATGAGCCCTTATTTCTATTTCTATTTCTATTTTATTTCAATCTTCGAATTTTGTATTTTTTTAAACAGTTCTTTTTTAAATGTCCTGTTGAACAGTCACGATGCATTTCACTGCACATACTGTATATGAGCATGTGACAATACAAACTCTTGGATCTATTTCTGCAGCCAGCTGTGCCAAACTGTGCAAAATTATTAACGCAGCATCCAATTGTCTTCTTTTCTCATTTAGAAATGAAGTTGAAAGTCTTGTTTCTATAGATTTAGTTAAAAACTGGTTAAATTTAGCTGTGTGAGTGGTGACACATTCTCGACCACCAAGTTAATTAATGGCTTTAACTCTATTCCGGACTTTCATGTTGCCATATGTAGAAGGTCTTTTGGGGTCCATTGGACCCCAAGAAAGAATATGTGCAAAGTATTTGTTGGTATTCGTTATAGACTTTTATACTATGTTAAATACGTTTTCTGATAAGTTGACATATTTTTGGTTCCAAATGCATGACAAATGTACCACTTTTATATTATCTTCAAAAAAAAAACAAAAATAATACCTGTCACCTAAACCAAATGGCCTGGGGTCCAGAAGAACCCAAAAATCCTGAAAAGGGTTAAAGGACAATGATCAAATAAACCAGCACACAGATGTTCCTGTGAGCGGTGACTATAAAAGTCCGCCTGAAAATGCATTCAAATGACATGATGCCACAGATGACAAGAGAAAAAGAACAGGCTGTTTTCCTGCTGGATGCTGGCAGGTCAGTTAGGGTTATAGATAGACACTCCTACAACTCCACGACTTGTCTAAGAAATCGTTTCAGACAGGAACGTACAACAAACAATCTGCCACATGATACCCTGGATGGACGTGTCCAACAACTTGATCCTGTCCTCCAAAATGTTCATCAGCTTCGCCAAGTCATCCAGGATGAGTTGGACAACATTACCCAAGCCAGCATCCATCCATCCAGTCATATTCGTCCACACTTTCAGAGTCGGGTTGTGGTGCAGTTCAGTCTAGATATTCTTCTCTCCAGCAACATCTTCCAGTTCCTCCTGAGGAAGCCAAAGAGTTCCCAGGCCAGGTGAGATATGTAAACTCTCCAGTGAGTCCCGAGTCTACCCTGAGGGCTCCTCTCAGTTGGACGGGCCCAGAAAATCTCCAAAAGAAGGTGCCTAATCTTAATCTTAGTGTGCATATCGTAAGAAGGCACCTGATCAGATGCTGGAATCACCTCAGTTTTTACCTTTCAACATAAAGAAGCAGTGACTCTTGACTGAACTCCCTCCAGATGTTGGAGTTCCTTACCGTAAGGTTGAACCCAGATATCCTACAGAGGAAACTCATTTCAGCTGCTTGTATCATCGATGTTATCATTTCAGTCCCTACGATGAACTGGTGAAGGTTGGAACAAAGACCGATTAGTACAAACCGAAAACGTTTGCCTTCTGCTTCAGTTTTCTCTTGACCACGATGGTCCGGTACAACCCCTACATGACTGCTGATGCTGCACCAATCCTTCTGTCCACCTCACACTTCCCTTTCCTGTCACTCGTGAACAAGATAAATGCCTTCACTTGGGGCAACAACCCCCCCCCCAACCTGAAGGAAATAATCCACCGGTTTCCATCAGAAAAATATGGTCTTAGACTTGAAGGTGCTGACTCTCATCCCGGGTAAAAACTTTCCAGTGCGTGCAGAAGGTCACGGTCTCGTGGCAAGCCAACATCGACAGCCTCATTAACTCTGAGCGTTATAGATGTGTTACTCATTAGTGACTACGGATTTATGGTCTATGACCCAACTCTCAATCTGCAAATCATCATTTCCAATATAGTGTGCATTTAGTTGGTTCATGACCTTTACTCTGTTGCGGAGATGCTGCTGTGTGTTGGAACAACAAACACGTATTCCCTTATCTCAAAAAAACAATGTATATTAAATGCTGTGTTTTAGATTTTTGTTCAGTATAATTGCTCACAGCAGTGCCTTGAGCTAAATGCTACCATCAGTACGCTTGTCTGCCTACTAGGCGAATGCTCAAGTGCTAATATTCAGTAGGTATAATATTTACTTTGTTGGTGAACACAGTTTGTGTGCAAGTACAACATCTGCAAATTAGCAGTAAGGTTAAGTACAGCTGGGACTGATGGGAATTGGTTTGCAGTTTGGTCATAATCTAAAGGCTTAATTCAGTCTGAACCAAAGTGGTTGAACAACCAATCAAAGATGAGAACCACCACAGCAGCTAACAAAATAACCTGAAGAAGGGACTGAGACAACTTTTGGCCAAAACCCATTCATTAACAACTTATTAGTATTATATAATAATAATAATAGCCTTTATTAGTGACTTATTAACAATTGTAGCCTTCAACTGCATGATTTAATAGAAAGTGTCAAACCCATGGGTGTTTATTAATAAACTAACTGAATTATGACTCCAGTAGAAGATGGACAACTGCCTGTCAATGCGATCTTTACAATCTGGCAACCCAGCATTTACTTTTAGAAATGACACCAAGCTGCTGTATGAAGTATTATTCAGTGAATAGCACATGTATGTAGACTGCAAACTTCTAGTAGGTTTCAGAGAGCGGTTTTCTGGTGTGTGTGGGGGAACGGTTATCTCTTCTTGTGTGTTTCTTGATTCTTTTGTTATACCTTCTTGATTTAAAAAAGATCTATATTTTAAATACATCTGTCCATCTCACTTGCACATACACCCACATGACACACTAGAACATGCTAAGAGGTATCATTTCTCGGATGCGTCTCTTGTCTGAGTGTTTATACATGTCAACGTGTTAGCGGAGGGGCCCAGTCGGGGCAGACGGACTCTTATGGGGGCTAATGTTTGGACGTTGGAAGAGCCGCGCGTTCAGTCTCATCCTGCTTCAAAACAACATCCCACAGCTTCCCTCACACAACCCCTGATGACCACCCACACAATGACCTTTCACCCCAACACCCAACGCACATACTCGCATGTCCAAAACGGCACATTAACACACAGACACCACTGAGCAAAGAGCACACATGCAGGACCCTCTCCAACCTCTCACATGATCATGTCGTAAACAACATTGTACAAGTCTTTCTGTATGTGCACTTAGATGAGATTCACAAGTATTTGCTTTGTGATAACTGATCTGAGGTGGAAGCATTAAGAGAAAATGGCTTTGGTTCATTGACAACTTTAAAGGTTGTATTTACTGATTTTAAATGTCACATTAGTTGTTGTGTTTTTATGTGCTTAGGTTTTCTCACATGTTCTTCATATACAATGGAAGTACAAGCAATTAAATAGTTACAATTTTTTTTTTTAAACTTTTAAAAACTCATCAGCAACGTTTTGGTACTATGTCCTTGGACAAACAGTTCAAGGTGACGTCAACAGATTATTCACGAGTTCCCAGGACATCTTTTCTGTACAGAAACACTGTTTTTCTGTTTGTTTTTGCAGAGATTTGTTTTTTTATGCTATGGACTCCATGAAAATGATTTTTCTGGATTCAGGTGAACTTATACAGACGATTGCAGATGTTGCATAAATGATCATAAAGCACTGTGCTGATTGATGTCACCGGACAAACAAATATAAACAGGAATTAATTTACAAATAAAACAGTCCATTAATAAATTGATCAGCGAGCAAGAGGTTTCAGGACACACACTCTGACACACATATTTGTGTTAACATGTGGATCACTCTCCTGCCAAAAACAAGAAGCTAAATCAATAGTTACGCAAGCCGTGATGTGACACACAAACACACTCAAAACTGAACAACTGAAGTTAAAACAGTGGATTACTGAGGCTTTGGAGGTGACAGCATGTTTCTGCATGTCTATGACTTTTTAGATGAAAAACTGTTAAATATTTATGACGCATATAACAAAGAAAGCTTTCAAGCTGTTTTAGACCATTTTGCACGTCTCTGCTGTTTGTTCTTAGTGACATTACAGTAGATCTGGGACTCAAAATGCAGAGTCACTGATCACTTAACGCAACCCAGTGCTTCAGGTTCTTTACGTCACATAGTAGTAGCTACTGTTCAGTGTTCTAGTACACAGTAAATAAATATGAGTCACCTTCAACCAGGTCTGGCTGAGGTCAAAATGTCACGTGGGGTACAAAATAGCTTATGCTGGTTTATTCTCTGTGGCACGATGTTCGCCAAGGCCAGACGATACCCCTCAGTCCAGTTTAGGAGGGCATTAACAAAGATTTGTAACGTACAGGGTTATGAAACAGCCTCCAAATAATACCGTCAGGAATAACCTGGAATAGACCAGAATATACCTGGTGGTATATGTGATGACCCCTGAGGTCATCTTGT